AGGACAAAAGTTCAACGGTGAAAAAAAAAAAAAAAAAAAAGGATCCGGGGTCAACAATTTGTGCGTGCGACCGGGCTATGCACATCGATGCGCTCCCGGCTGATGCAAAGCCCACACGTATAATGTATACAGGCCCATTGACGCCGAGGAGCGGAAATCGCCATTGAATCTGTCGCTCTCCGCAGGCCAGCAGTGTCGTCGTCGCGTGTCCATATATACACAGCCCTCTCCTTCACTCGTATATATATATACAGCTGGCGTGGAAGGTGTAATTTCGAAATTCCTCCCTCGGATGTTTTTCCCTCCACCCCCTCGTGGACAATGGCCCCACTGCCGAGCAGTAGCCCCACGCGTATGTATACATATACACCCTTCGTCCGAGATTATATATATATATCCGGCGTGACCGGCTTCTTTCGGCCGATGGGGACGATCCGCGACTCCGATTCTCTCGAGTGCAGCGTTCCTCTTCTTCTCGCTGCGCCCTTTCAATTTTTTACTTCCTTTCCGTTCGACGTGCCCGATTTTTCTCCCCCTGCATGTGTTTTGCTTAGGTCTATTTACCCCGTCACAGTGGGTGATGCACTTGTCAGCGCTACCACATGTACTATTATTATAGTAACATCGGACGGCTATTAGTCGCGGGGAAAAGAAAATCAATTGCATATACACGCATCGATACACTAAAATTTACTCTTTGAATTTCACAATTGTTTCCAGCATTGAACGTGTACATATTATATAGTCGACATTACAACATCCGATCGCTCTTGTATATATAACATCGGAGGAGTCGATCGGCAAGGGTATAGCTATTCTCCCACGCACTCGCAAGGTATATATATGTATTGTATAGAACGATGGTGTGACAGTGCGGTGCCGATGGTTCGCGGACGCTGAACTGTATATATATAGTGTATACATTAGGCGTAGGTGTCGGTCCAAGCCTCCTTCTATTCGCTGGTATACACGACTGTATGGATATGTATATATATTGTGTTTTATATACGAATACGTTTTTCCCAAAGACTCGCCCACTGGCTGTGTACATCTCTATATGGTACAGGTATATAATATATATTACAATGTAATGGGAGGCTTGAAATCGAAAAAAAAAAAAAAAAGAGAGAGAGAAGGACATTGTGCACCGCAGGCGCAGCTTCCCTTCGGTAGTGGATATATATATATGTATATACGCGTGACGATGATGGGAAGCACTTGTGTCCCGAGGTCCGCACTCCCTCTGTTCGGAAAAGTCTCAGCGAGCCCCGAGATTTCCCACATCCTCTCTCTGTTGTGTACATCAGAGGCCCGTTGGTCGGTTACCTATATACTGGTCCTTTTTAAATGGCGTATGTACATGCGCTTTTCTCTCATTTACGTGTATATACATATGGACGATGCACCGTGCATTGTCATAGCGCGGGAATCTTGGAAAAAAAAAGAGAGGTATACAATACTTGTGTGTATAAAGGCGCCTCGATGTGTCTTCCCTTTGACTGAGAGTACAACATATATATATATATATGTATATATATATATATATATATAGAAATCTACACTAGTACTACTTAAAATGNAGAGAGAGAGAGACCTTATATATAGGTATCTACACCTTTCTCTCCGCTTGTTGTATTCCTAATTTCAACGAAGGACGATGGTGTATTTTTTTTTTTTTTCTTCTTTTTCTCCCTCTTTTTTGGAGTAGCTCTCAGGGGTATATCTCTCGAGTATTTGCATGCGATGATCTATACGAATTCATCGTGTGAGATTCGTTTTTTTTTAATTTTTCATCCTCTGTATATGTTTTAAAGAATCGGAACCCATACCTGTTGTATATATATATAATGTGTATACGTGTGGCTTTTCTATGATGGAATTTACGCGAGTTGTTTTCGGAATACCAATGAGCACGAAATGACGATTTCGTCAAAAGGTGCAGATGGGCACGCGAGGGAGGAGTTTGTACGGGTATATCGGATGTATTTCGCATTACAAACGAGCTTTACGTGCCTACAATGCGAGAAGAGGGTGTGAGAAACGCCGAGTTCCTCTTTTTTTTTTTTTTTCCCCTCACCCACCCTTTGCCGCGACGCATCTGTAATTCATCGCGATGCATCCGAAAGCCATTATACACCGAGGCGAAAGGATTTTACGTTTACTTTTTTTTTTTTTTTTTCTTTTTTCAACTCGGGTGATTGTACAATTACGTGGGAATTGTTTTTATTTTCCAATGAGTCGGAAATAAATATAAATACATGTAGGGGGAGTAATGTGAAAAATTGCGTGAGAGCAAGAAACGCACGCTAAAAGGGCTCAAAAGACCACCAAGAGCAGAGGTCGAGGAAACAATAACGGGTGATGCCGATAAAAGAAAAATTATATGTGTAACACAACGGAGACTAAAAAAAAAAAAAAAAAGGAAAAACAGAGAGATCGGCGTAGCTAAATTTCCTTCAAAGAACCAAAGGAGGAGGAGGAGGACGCCCATCGCGCACGCATGCTCACATGTATATAATGTACACGCATCCTTGGGCTCTCTCTCTCTCTCTGTTTTTTTGTCCCTCTCTGTAACAGTGCAGATGACGCCCCCGCAGCACATATATGCATACATATACACACATATGGGGTATATAAGTATAAGGTCGCTTTCCTTCCTCCGATTGTATATATACTATATTCTCTCTCTCTTTCTGGTCCCCCTCCGCTTTTTCTCTCTCTTCGTACGTCGCTCCGCTCGGCGATGCCCCGCATCAGTATAAACTTGCGTATAACCCGCAGTCGTAGCACTGCGCTGCGCGAGCGAGCACCGCTCCTCTCTCTCTCTCTCTGTGTATTTTTTATCAAGCCTCATCGCCGCGCGTTTCCACACCGAGTTTTTGCATTGTTTCGTGCATATATACATGTACACTTGTGTACAGCTGTCACTTACATACTATGCTTGCGTTATCTCGCATTACTCACTCGTGTGCGTAAATAATTGTTGCTGCCTTCGCTCGCTGAATCACCGCCGATCTTTTTTTTTTTTTTTTTTGGTGCATTTCAATCGCCGGGCAGGCTCCTTCGTTCTTGTGATTATACGCGTGTTTACACTTACGCGGGGAAAAACTGTGCGACGCGCGCATATAATATTATGATCAATTGATCGGTGAACGAGTGACTTGTGACGTATACACAGAAATACTGTACACATACGTGTACCCGCTGGAGGGAGATAAAGATCGGTTTCGATAGTGAAAGTGTATGTATGAATCATATTTACAAGTGCTGGAAGCAATGTACATGATGCCGATGCGGCACGTTTGCGAGGACAAACGCGTTTTTTGAGCATCGGCGGAAGAGGAGCCAAGCAAGAAGGGGCTGTACACGCGCTTGTGACATACCTCGGGAGCAGCGGAGCGATAAGCATCGGTAAGCCGAGTATTATCTAATCGCTCGAAAAACAAACAATCGTACCACCTACTTCCTTCTCCTCCCTTTCAATACATTTATGTATGCTTATTCCTGTAAAAATCTACGATATGAGACACGCAGCTGTATAGGGTTGTCACTCGCGGCCGTAAACGGTGATGGTTCGCGCGCGACACGCGCGTGGGATCGGTATATAGATACATTGTTGTATGTATATATATTGTACTCCCAGCAACAATACGGAATACATAAATACAAATCAGCGGGCGTTGCGATTCGCGTGCTGTAACATGCTGCCGTATAGGTACACACATAAATCACTTTTAAAGTATATCCACGGGTATACCGATCGGTTATATTTATTTATTTTATGAAAAAATAACATGAGGTGTATTTGCATCCGTAAGCGGAATCGTACGAGGAGGAGGTGCCCGAAGTCACGTAAGAAGAAAAAGCTCGTCGTGGTGCCGAAAAAAACAACAACAAAAGTTCAAGGGACGGGGACCTATATAGTATCATATATATATATTTCGTTACATCGAGTGTTTCGGTTCCGATGGCAGGAAGCGCGCGTCCCTCGTCAATTGTACACGATACATATCCGCTTTCCGAGGGATACTACTTACACACGCACATGCGTGCAGCGGCTGCACCATCATAATATATATATATGTATATCTCTTCCCAACGTGTATGGCTCACACATGTGGGCTTGCACTTTGCTCACCTATATATGTATATATATATATATGTATTATACATAGAGGAGAGTATTTGTCTTTGCAATTGTGCAGCGGCTTATTTGCACGCCACACATAAAAGAGAGAGAGAGAGAGAGACCTGCTGCTGCAGGGGCTGGATCTCCCCGTACACATCTATACAATACCTCGGTATGCATTTAACGAGTGGAGTAGAGCGGTGTATAAAGGAGCTGCTTCCTGTCGCACACGTTTACAGCTCTCCCGTGCAGCACCCGCGTGAACACATATGAAGTACCCCCAAGTACACGGATCAGAAAGCCTTTGGTCTTTTTTCGGAAAACCGATAGGTCCGCGAAACTACCGATCATCATATACACATATATATATACATATATATTCGATTTCACCCGCGGATCGCGCACTTTCCAACACGCAAATTCCAGCGATGGCGTGCCCCCTTCCTTCCTCTCTTAATTTTCCCTTCTTTCTTTCTTTTTTTTTTACAACTATTAGATATATATATATACATACATACTTGCAGGTACACGGTATACGTATCGCTCGCATGCGTGTCGTCGCCGCTCTTTCTCTCAAACCTGTCGATCTCGTTTTGATTCACCATACCTATATATAAGTATATTTATATACATCCGAGTGAAACGATTCTCGAAACACCCCCTCTCTCCCCCCAACCCGTACAAGTTGGTATATATCGAGTATTGCCACCTTTACCATTCGTTTCATTGTTTTTTAGAAAATCCAACTTTTTCCTTTCCACGCGTACATTATTATAATTTCCCAGTGAAATCTCAATCCCGTGGATATGTATAAAGTACATGTTTTTTGTTTTTTCTTTGTTCAGCCAATCCGCATCTGTTTTCAGACCCCATAGCGGCCGAGAGAGCAGACAGGTGGAACAGTCCACTTACAACCAGCACCACCACCAGATACACCGGGGATGCTGAAACACGTGTCCGCGTCGCCGTGGCGCAGCCGCTCCGACAACGTGAGCTTGGCCTCGAGCGGCGGTACGAGCAGCTGCGGAAGCGGAAGCCCCGGGCACACGCCCCCGCCATCGAGGGCCTCGTCCTGCGCCTCCCTCCTACCGATCTCGGCCCGATCCAGCATCTCGCCGGCCGACCCCACGCCCCAACAGGTCAGTCATTCCATCCCCCACAAATAACATTTTTTTCATCTCAACTGTATTCGTGGCCCTACGTGTATATACACATATACTTACATTCAACGGGATGACCGAACTGGTGAGACAAACAAGATAAATACGATGGAAGTTGGGTGTAACGTGTATGGCCAAAAAAATGGCCAATCGAGTCCAAATGTATAGCGAGAGATAAAAATTGCACCGATACAGATGCGCTTGTAGTATAGTAGGCGGCTGGGAACGAGTACGCCGGGCTTTTCGATTTCTCACGATCCGAGGGGGTGGGGGGGGACCCTCGTGTATATATATATATACATATACTCCGCGCGTGCGGTTTCGTGTCCTTTTTGCGCGAGACTCGATGCGACCAACGCGCGTAACACGATCCCCTCGAGAACTAGCCCGCCTCCCTCTCCCTCTCTCTTGTGTATATGCCCCCGAGTCGCATCTTCTGTAGGTGTATATATACATGTATACGTGCACTTTATACGCGCAGCACCGGACCCACACTTTTTGCTCGAGCTTTCCGTGCGATCGTCGTTAGCGCTTTTCACCCCGACTGGAAACAACTTTTCGATTTTTCCTAGAGTACAACAATAACATCGCTATCGCGTGTAACCGTGATATGTTATATGTGAAAAGGGAGGGGGGGGGGGCCGATCGGAAAAGCGTCGAGAAGAAGCTTTCCGAGACGTATCGTCGCACGGTTGTGCGTTTTTTTATGTCTATGTATATGTATGAAAGCTCAAAGGGCCAACAACGAGTCGGCGAGCGTTGGTAAATCGCATACGCACACGTATATATGTATATACACACGTGAGAAAGATATTCTGTGAGAACTCGTTGCAGCGACGCGTCGCACATATCCACGCGCGGATAAATTAAAAAGCATCTGGCCGAGATGTCGTCGCTTTCTCTATCTTTTTTTTTTTCTTTCATTTCGCTGTCCCGTGCCCTTTTTTTTCCCTCCTTTTCTGCGTATGTGTGTACACTCGCGCGCAACCAAACTAGGCTTTTTTTTTTATCGCGTCTCTGTGGCACGCGAGATAAATATATTGCTCGGCAAATGTCCATTTGGTATTGATACAGCGATGATCCGTCAATTATACACGAGACATCCGATTGTCGATGACGCGCGGTATATAGACGTGTGACTCATTGACGTAATAGATTTGGCACCTGTTGGCGCGACTCGCGGGGGTTCCCCGTCTTGAGGCTTTAATCCGGTTCGACGAGGTGTAGTATATACAATATACATGCACGAGCAGCCGGTCGTTATGCCGTAACTCTTGCGTCCATATCAAGTGTACATATTAGGTTCGTTTGGGGCTTAGCTTGGAGCAGCTCCGAGCTCCTCCGAACTTTGCCCCAAAACACGCGTTTTGCTCCGAGAAAATTCCCGCAAATTCCTACAGTCTTGGCAATATAAATACTTACGTCTTGGCCATAAATATAGATATACCGACTGTAGGAATTTACTCGGAGCAAAACGCGTGTTTTGGGGCAAAGTTCGGAGGAGCTCGGAGCTGCTCCAATCTAAGCCCCAAACGAACCTATTATGTTTACGCAATCCGGACACATCGTCCTCTCGCGTCGTCGATGCCACTGCCAAAGCTGCCAAGCGATATATGCTTACATATACATTTATTTTCCGATTGATTGAAAAAACTCCCATCGCGTCATCGCTGTACAATTCCAGGGAATTCGCCTTCTTACGTGCCTTGATCTTTTTTTTTTTTTTTTTTTTTTTGCAAGACTCGCGATCGAATCGAAAAAAAAAAATCTGCGGTTGTGATGGGCCAAGTAATATGGGGAGGGGAGGATGGCAGTAAAAAAAAAGTATAAACAGGTATCACCAGAAAGAGCGTGATACATTCGGGGGTGCATTCGTCGTTGCTGCGGCAGTGTGTTACGGCAGTGGCTTGACACATAAGAGGGGGGGGGGGAGGGGGAATCGTTCCGGCGGTAATCTGCACTGTCCGTCACGGCCGACGAGCGGGTGGTCCTATATATTATCTACATACATATACAATAACAATAGTAAGCCTGTATCCCCTGCCATGCATCTTTGTACACAGGTATATATGTATATATGGTAAAGCCGCGGACGAGCACGCGCCGCAGCATTACGCGAACAGAGGGAACGACGCGCGCAACATCCGCGCCGACCGCGCTGGGCCGTGCTTCCGGCTTTTCTTTTCGTACCGGCGATGCTTTTGCACTTTTGTGCCGCTCGACTCCCTCCCTGTCTTGCTCTTGTGTCTGCTCTGTCTATCTGGAGTTGATCTCGATAGCGCTCGATAGTACACCTATACCCCGTAACTTTACCTATATATATATACATATACATATATATATATATCTATGCTGGAAGGGATACATTACATCTGTCCAGGTATATCGCCACGTCCTTGACCCGCGTATACTTTTGTACAGTATACTATCGATGCACAGCTTATGCGTATGGATGAATATGTGCGTCTCCGTGCTAGTGCACCGTAGTTTTTTTCAACCTTTTTCAACGTGTCGACCCGATTTTCGTACTCGGTACAGAAATTACGATTCAATCGACGATTAAGTATATGCGGGAGTATCCACCAGAGTACAAGTTTTCCGAAATCGCGAGCACAAAACCCGATTGTTCCACACCAGCGTATACTTATATAAATTTGGTTTTGAGGTCGGTATATTTTCAGTGTCCCATCTCTTAAGGTGTAGGTGCTTAATGTATTCGCATACGCATATATAGGATATAATTGTATTATGTGTACGCAAAACCAGTAATTAGAAAGCCCGTGCAGATGAGCGATCGTAACTATTATTTTTGAAAAATCACTCGCTGAAACCCAATGAAATCCGAGGTCTTTGTATCCATCTTTTTACCCGAGTTTTGAAAAATAAATCCCGAAAATCCACCGTACACGTGTATGTACAATACAACATACATATATGTATATATAGGTAAAAACCGCGTGCGCTACGTGTATTGTTGTACAACCGCGTTTGGGAACAATGTATGATCGTAAAATAACATCGCGCGCACGCATTTGACTTTTTAATCGAGGCCTCGTAAATCTCGTCGGATCGTCCATTATGTGTACTTGAAGAGAAAAAAAAAAAAAAAAAGGAAATCAAGCCCCGAAAAATCCCCGCGCTTTATACAATTATAAAATACGAGGGGGAAGAAGAACCTCCCAACATATGTACACACGTAGGAAGCAGGAAGTAGTACTCTCTCTCTCTCTCTCTCTCTCTCTCTGCAATGGAGCACACGCACGTTATCGCGTTAATTGTACTTCTACACGTATAATATACGTGATCGGGCCCGCATGAATCGTCTCTGCCATTCGAGGCCACCGACCAACCCATGAACAACAACAACGCGTCCCACACACGCGCAATTAAATGTCTAACAATCGCCGTTAATCAGGATACGTTGTGGGTACACAAAGAGAAGTCGGAGATGGAAGTTCCCGTATAGGCATCAAGGATGCCGATCCCCCCCCCCTTACCCCCCATGTACACCCATTATATACATTATCGACGACCCCGACAACAACGACGCCGTCCCTCTTTCTCTTTCGACGAGCTTCCTCCCTTACGCTTCCTCCACCGCAAGTGCGGACCTTTCACTTATATCTGTCTGTATATATACCTATATAAATTATATATACTGCATACGCGAGGGGGGCCAAGCTCTTCCATCACAACATACATACTATATATTACGTACAGATTAATTTACCTGTTTCGCCAATAGCGATGTTGTGTACACGCGTGGGTGAGCTCGATGCGTGGGCCTTCCCGGTTTCCGGAAGGTCATTTAAATTTCACGTGTGTACGAATAAAGTATATATCCCACCCCCCTCCCTGTGAGCACACATGTGACGCGTATATAGGTGAACACCTGTTTATGCCAAAAGTATATAATGAATGTTTGGTGGGTAGAAAAAAGAAAAAAAAAAAAAAAAAAAAAAAAAAGGGAAATAACAGTATTTCCGAGCGGTGCGCGTCGGCGTGACGAGATTACCTTGGCTTATTCCCGTGCGTTGCATTATATACCTACATACTTGTACTCATATGCATGGAAATCGCGAGAAAGATTTTGCGGTATGATTAAATTAACTTTTGTGTGTGTGTGTCGTACATGTGCCTTGTCGAGTCGGTGGAAACAACAAAACGGCATATTTGTGCATAAATAATTGATGTAGAAAAATAGAAAAAAAATAATAATATACGTTTCGTCATTGCGGGGTTGCCGCGGAAAATCAAGTGTAAATAGCTTTGGTCGTCATTTGTGTATTGAACATCCATTGCACTGGAGGAGCGCGTGAGCAACGCATCCTAAAACCAACTTGGCAGTATACAAAATACGTTACATTTACACGTATCTTGCGAGACTCCGCGGGTGCAGCGAGCAGTGCGAAGAAATCAATCAGAGCTTGGGATTCCATAGGGTATACACACGTATATGTGTATTATGTATAGGTATAGGTCCACGGGTATATATAGCTGATTGCTTGAACCGTATACGGGCTGCATCCCCCGGACTCGCTCCCGTTACCGACATACCGATCGTCGCCCATTTCAAGCTCGCCGAGTGTGTAATGGCCCACCCATTCGTATACATATATACGACACGACTTTTTTTTTTTAGGCGCGTTGTAATTCGGGATATGCAATGTATATCCATTACATACGACACTCTCGGATCTCCTGTATAATTACATATACGATGGATCTCTCTACGGTGCGACTCGCGTCTATACAGATGCTCGTTATCTCGCGCGACTACATTCATCCGAATGTGTGCGTTAAACGACACAGTGTCGCTCCATTGAATTTTCGTGGCTTTTTTTTTTTTTTTCTTTTGTATTTCGTCATCCCGAAAAAGGATTTATTAGCAAAGGGCGGGTAAAGTTGAGCGTATGACAAGCTGGAATGGTATATCGAGTTCGCTATACTTGTATACTTGCAGAGTTGTTGATGAGGAG